TCCTCTTGTCTAACTCTCTGTAAAAACATGAAGACTTCAGAGTATTTCCCAAAATATCAAACTATCCCTTTAAAGTATTTACAGACCGACTCCGAGATAAACTGATCACTTCTCTAAATTTAAACACTTAACCTTCCACTGCAATTTGGAGCAACTGATGTATGAAATTGCACAGTGCAAAAAAACTATGATCTTCCATTTCTGCACTGACTGTATACTTGCCTTCTAAAGATACTTCTGTCTTCTGATACTTGTACTTCTGTCTAGGCAAGTTGCGAGCACTTCTATGCCGCAGTGTGCAGAGTTCAAACAATGGAGACTTAAATAACTTTTTACTTTTCACGGAGGCAGAGGGAGGATGAATTAAATAGTTTGTTCGCCCACTGAGAGACATGAGTGATGCTACATACGACCAACTGGACCAATCACAGATGCTGTGGAGGTTACATTTCTAGGGATGTTACACACCAGCGTCTGTTGCACGCCGTAACTATGGCGCTGATTATAAACAGAGATATAAATTGGCCTTAAGGCTCAGTCATGATGGAAGTGAGATGTGGAGAAAATGTAGATACACTTTCGCCCTCGCAGCTGCTCTCTGTGGTGTGTTGCATTTTTTCCAACAGGATCCAATGCACATAACTGGGAATTTAATGTATCAATGAATGAATAATGACCTTTGTTTTCCAGTGGAATCATTACCAGATGGATGCTGCTGTTGACAGCTTCAGACATGACCACACACACACACACACACACACATACACACACACATTGGTTTCCGTTCCCCAGTGGAATGTGGGAGGAATAAGGTGTCGATTCCCAACAGGGATACAGTGTTAAATTGAAAAATTCCATGTTGGATCCAGAAGACAATCACCCACTTGTCCAAGTCTATGAATGTTTTTGGTGTGTATGTGTGTAAAAAGCATGAGTGTGCATGTGTGTGTTTGTGTATATATGCGCATGCGTATGTCAGGGTCATTACACAGAAAGCCCTGTGTATGCATGGAAACTGCCTCTCTTGGACATAAAAGATGCATAGACTAAAACACACACACACCTATATGTAACACACACACACACACACACACACACACACACACACGCACACACACACACACACCAGAATTGCAGAGGCAGCTCTGACCTCATAACACAACACTCATTACTCATACAGTCATTCATCATTCACACACACGCCCGAAGAGTGTGTCCATCCTGATGAAGCATAAAGGATATTCACAACCTCCGAGCAGACTGTCTGACTTACTTCCAGTCGACTGCTTCACACCTCTCTCTCTTTCTCGACCCGCACACACACACAGTCATAGAAATACAAACACATACACACACACAAACACACTCAGACAAGCACACATTTGTGAAACCTCCAAACAGGCGAAAACCTCTCTAGAATAGATCTTGGTCCTGGAAACTAGTCTTGAATTTGAGCAAAGACAAAAATAAACTAAACTGTGCCGGCGTAGCAGCGGCTCGTCACTGCAAAATCATCGCACTGCACTGTCATGAAATCACAAACAACGCCAAATTTAAGATCAATAAATGTGGGAAGTGGACTCACAAGTGGACTAAAGAACAAATAGGAAGAAAGAGAGAGGAAGGACCGGGTGTGCACAGTGGAGCAGCATCTAGTGGTGAGGGTGCAATTGCAACCTACAGAAACCCCTCCGCCAACCTATCCTTATCCAGATCCCCTACTGTGGCCTTAACACAACATAAGTCAAACTCAATCTGGTCCTCTATAGAGCGCAGTGTTTAGTTTGTCCATTCTGGGCTACTGTAGAAACATGGTGGTGCAACATGGATGACACTGTGGAAAAGGAACCCCTC